AATGGTTTCGGCAAAAAAGACGAGCATTTCGCCCCCAAAGGAACGTTATGCAGACTGTGGAGGCGGCCTGGCAAATGGGAATCAAGACGGGATGCAGCGCACGCACGTATGTCCTGCAAGATTTCCTTTCGTGTCAGGTACGGAGAAAAATCCAGATTAACGCGATGAAAAAGACATGGGCGGTCCATCTCCCAGGATGGCGAGATGGGGAGGCAGGTAGGCGGAGGACTCGTTCGTATGGACAGGGCTCCGGTTGCATATTGCATTCATGTATAAGCGCTTGGGATGCTATTTCCAAGTCAAACTGGCCGGTGTTGCAGCAAAGCATGATGGTGGGCTGGAGGGTTACAAGGTGAGATCTATAGTTCGGGTGGTGGATGGATGTTTACGGGAAAAGGCTCACCACTAACCAGTGGAAAGAAGAGCGAAGGGAAAGAGAAGGAGAAGAAGGGCAAAGGCAAAGACAAAGCAAAAGAGGGAGCAGAGGGGGACGACAGAGAACGGGAGATGGACGAAAGAGCCAAAGGAGTCAGGGCAGACGGAGAGAGAGAGAGAGAGAGAGGTCCCGCAAGTGTGCATGGAGGTACATTAGCCTTCCCGTGCGGCAAGCCCACCAGCCATTGCCACTGCCACCAGAAGGAGAGGGGAGGGGCCAGGCTAGGATAGGATGGGAGGAACTGCGCCGCAAGAGAAGAAGAAGAGAAGGATCAGGGATGGCGTCGTTGCGTTGTTTTTGGGCGGCGCCACGTCGAGGATGGATGCAACGCTGGGAGGAGGCAAGATGACCGGTCCGGGAGGCGAAACGGCCGAGCAAGAAGCAAGGATGATGGATGGATGGATGATTGAGGACTTGGAGGCAGGCGGCTGTCTTTCACGTTGGGGTACTTGCGAGTGAGTGCCGATGGGGCATGCCCGAGGTTCATCGACGACGGTCTACTTTGTATTGCGAATATTTGGACGACGGACGTGCATTGGCAGCGTTGAAGAGGGTGACTGAGCGGTATCAGGTTCCGACACTGACTCTCTCTGTCACTGTCGTTGTCGCTTGGAAGCAGCTGCGGATTATCGATACTCGAAGTACGGAGTACAGTAGTATTGTCTGCCACGGCGAGATACACGCCCCCCGCGTTGTGCATGAACGCCTGCCCGGTTCACTTGGATACATAGCCAAGGCAAGGAATAACAGGTGGCAGATAAGAGGGTTCATCCAGGAGAGAAAGAACTGGCCATCTTTTTTAGCACACATTAGTGCGGCGTCGATTGATTTGATTTGATAATGAGGGATCTTTTGCAGCAAACGCCCCGTGGTGCTAGCAGTTCTAATAATACTGGGAGGGATATATTTGACGTGAACTAATTACTATCGAGTTGGTAAGAGTAAATAGTCTAGGCGCCGAGGCTACTGGGCACTCCGTAGATGGATGGATGCCGTTTAAACGACGGGATGGAGTTAGCGATTGCCTAATTTGGGAGGGAACTGATCCAGATCCACGTAATAGTTCCTATTACCTTGAGATATTCTACAAAAGAGAGAGAGAAGAGAGATGGAGCCGAGACGGCGCGAAACGGAAAATCCACTGAGAAATCCAAGAGTCCCATTTACAAGTCTTGGCTGGGCTGGGTTGCATGGCACCCGCCGAGACCCCGGAGGAAGGGGGGGGGTTGATGGAGGCTCATGAGGGTGTTTCTGGGCTAATTTGGCTTTTGCTTGATTTCTTGACGACGAAGTTCGTCTGTGCAATAATCATGGGCAGGTGTCTTTTTTTTTTTTTTTCTTATGCCGCAGCAAGGGTCTGAAAGTTTTGGGGGGGGGGGAGCTTGACTCGCCGACAAGCGGGTGTGTAAATCGACGGGGTCTTCTCCGTACATGTGCGTTTATTTGTCAAAATGTCCAGACGAAACATGTTGTTTTATCATGGGGGAAATTAGACGTTTTTGGAGCAAGACTAGGGGAATAAAGTACATAACAAGGAACAAGAAGAGACAAGTAACCTACCACGTAGCTAGTAATAAATCGGTTCTCGGAGCCTGCCGACGACAACCCGCTAACGATGGTGTGTGATTTGAGGCTACTGAGCAAATAACAGGAAAAAGATAAAGCGGTGAGTAGATGGCAAAGGAACTTTAAAAAGAGAAGGACCGACAAGAAGAAGAAGCGAAAAAGAAGCTTTCTGGTGAAACAACGCCATGGTAGAAACGACTGTGCACACTTGGCGAGTAATGGCCCGGGAAGAGAGGCGGCAGAGAAGACGTGACCTGATACGAGAGCGCTTGGACAATGCATAATAATCAAGATTGCGGGCTTTTTCCTGCCTACCGGCTGCTGCCCAGGCGGCTGCAACGGGAGCTTGCCATGCATGTCTGCTCTAGTTACCCGAACTAATACGCTGTGGTTATTTTTCCGAGTCGGTAAAAGAGGTTCCTCCCAAGGTCTGTGCCGATGGGGCGAAGATTTGTTGGGTTTCTATTGGAGGGTTGATTTTTTTGGGAATTGCAGGGGTTTATGCACAATGGGGGGTTTGACATACGGATCATTAATTGTTGTTCCTAATACGGGCAAAAGTTGCAAGTCTCGCCCATGTCGAGAGCAACGGGGAGGGGGGTCTGCGTTCCGGAGCGCGAGATATGTCCGCTGGGAGGGAGGAAGGAAGGATGCTCGGGAACGAAGCCGGGGAGACGGAGAGAGAGAGAAAGAGGTGGCGCAAAAAATGGAAAGTTCATGAGGGGATAAAAATAGAAATAATTATCATGATTTGAGCCCGATTTACGCAGAGCCTTGACGGGGATTTGAGTGGAGGGGGAGGAGAAAGGCTGCGGATATTATTACAAGATTGTAAAAGAGAGAGGGAAAAATGGAAATCGGCTCTTGGTGATGATAATGCAGGGATTCAGAGAGGGGGGGCCACGGTGTAAGTGATAGTCGACGGTCGTCCCAGCCGAAAACCCCACCTACGTAGGGGACGAGACAAGGCAAACAAATCCAGACGGATGCATTGAGATGGAGAGAGAGGCGTTTTATTCCTTGATTGTTTCTGCAGCGTCAAACGCATTTCAAGGTGTGATGGTGGTGGGGGGCGGCGACGTCTCAGAAGGTTTGTTTGCCGAGTTGTTCTCCTTTGTGATGATGTGATGCTCATTTCACAGAGTGAGCTGGTCATGATGACGAATATAGTAATTTTGGAAATTCAAGAGGTGTCAAGACAAAAGCCTTGTTCCCGGGTTCCCTTCCGCGGAAGGTGGAGGGGCCGCTGTCGCATTTCTTGCACAATATATGTTTGTGTGATGTCTTGATTAACACAAATTTGCGGCAGGACTATTAAGATGGAATTGACGGGTTACTCTATCTGTCCGAGACTGCCATCTGGGCAAGCCGAGCAAAGAAGACCAAAAACAAAAATAAAAACGGTTTAATTATCTTGTTCTGCAACGGCGGACCGTTGCAGCCGGGACAGCTATATGCCAGGTATATGAGGTAGATGGGGGCCGCGGGCAACGGGCAACGGGCAACGGGCGACGGGCGACGGGCAACGGACGCTCAAGTTTGTTTTTTTGCCTGCGGACTATATGTGGCAGAGCCTTATAGGTACGGATAGGGCAAAAAAGGCGGGATGAGGAGGGAGGGGCCCTTGTAACTTGTATGTATTACTTTCTGTGTGCTGTCTTGTGGTGTGTGGCATCTCGTACAGTCCCTGGTCATGGTTTCAATATTGGAGAGGGAGGGGGGGCAAAAGACCGGAAAAAGGAAAGGGTCTCATCTGCAGGCAAGGTAAAAGAAAAATCATTCCATTTCGGAAGAGTAAAAAAAAAATTCAACTAATTAAAGGGAAAATAGTAGGCGCTCTCTTCTCTCTCTCTTCCCGTCCTTGCCCAGGCCCTGCAAGCCACGACGGCCGCTCTGTGGACCGGCCACTCCATCACCAAGCTCCCCTGCAACAGCGGCCCCATGTAAATATACGCATATACTTTGCCGAGGAGGGGGACATGTGCATGTTGTGTGGGATTTGTCTTGTTTGCTGCGCTGGCAACTCCTTTTGTGGTGGGCTTTTCCGGGCGAAACGCGAGACGGCGGCCCCCTCCGAGACCCAAGAAGGACTCGGCAGGCAGGCAGGCAGGCAGGCAGGCAGACGGCGAGGGGAGGTTTAACAACGGGGGGGTAAACCGTTGATGTGCACTCTGTGTCGATTGGTAGACGGAGTACAAAGTTACAGTACGGATACTTGGTAGGGCGGGTGTTGGCAGTAGCAGATGGCCACCCGTCGGTACTCCCGTACAAGCCCAAGCCGTGCATGTACGTACATGAACTCACATCTTGCAGCCGGCAGGCGCCGCCAGCGGTCGGCAGCGCAGGAGATGCCCACCGGCCAAGGAAATGTCGATGCTGCGAACCGTCTCGGCGCTTTTTGCTTCTGTAGACTCGGCGGGGATGGACGAAGACGGGACCAAGGCCGATCGACATACCAGTTATACCAGGCAAATGCATATTGGAGGAGGCTAGTTTTGCTAACAAGCTAGGCTATGTTTTTTTCCCTAGATGCAAGTCAATATTGTGCTTTGAGCAAACTGAATTCTAGGCCAAGGTTGTCGCCCTCCTCTGAACATTGTATGTGGTTAGTACAGGGTAGGTGGAAACTGGCGGCTAATAGTTGAGATTGCTGTCAGCTCTTTCATACAATGAGCGACGACAGAGCAAAGGACAAGGCTCACGGTAGCCCAAGCCGCGCCGATTGGTATTTCGAAATCGGATTCAAAACTTTTCAAAATTACTGAATATTTTACAATATTTTACAGCACCGCTCTTGGCGATGTCCTCTACACAGCAAAACGCACTAGCGCATTCCCCCTCCCTTGGCCGCGCATTGGCGCGTTTGAGCGGGCCAGAACCAACAACCAACGGACCGTGAATTTCACCACCTCTTTACCATCACCGTCTTCACAATACGCGCCACAGACCACGTCGCCCACCGCTGTCAACTCGAACCTGGAATTGCAACCCACCACCCATGAAGCCCTACACGAACCCCCTCCCCAAGCCGCCGCCCTCCGCGCGCCCCCGTCCCTTCGACCCGTGGAACTCGTCCTCGACCGGCCACCAGCGCCGCGAGGCACCCCGGCGCGAGACCGACGGCGTCTCCGAGACCAACTGGCGGGTCTCGCGCGCTTCCAAGCTGAACCGGCAACTCCAGACCCAGAACCAACAGCCCTGCCCCTCCCCTCCTCCCAGCAGCAAGCCCACCGTGCAGAGGAAGAGCGTGGCAGAGATGCTGGCCAGGCCGGGCTCGATGAGGGAGACCCTACCATCCGCGGCAGACAAGACGGGGAGCGAGACGCCGGAGAAGAGGCAGCTCCTGGCCGGCGTGGTTGCTTATGTCAACGGCAGCACGGCGCCGCTCGTCTCGGACCACCAGCTCAAGGCCGCGCTCGCGGCGCACGGCGCGCGCGTGTCGCCGCACCTAGCTCGGCGGCAGGTCACGCACGTCATCCTCGGGCGACCAGTGGCAGGAGGAGGAGGAGGAGGTGCGGGATGCGGCGGCGGGCTGGCGGGCACCAAGATGGAGCGCGAGATTCGCCGACGAGGTGGCAGCGGCATCAAGTACGTCGGCGTTGAGTGGTACGTTTTGCCATCCCCCCCAAGGTCGGGCGAAACGCAAAAAAAAAGAGAAAAAAAAAAGAAAAGAAAAAGGCTAACGAGCATGTCTCAGGGTGCTGGAGAGCATACACGCGGGCAAGAGGCTCCCGGAGGCGCGCTTCGCGAGCGTGCGCGTGGCGCCGCACGGGCAGGCGAGCGTCTACGGGGCCCTCCAGGAAGCCGGGCGGCGCGTGACCGACTACTGACCTTGCCGTGATGCCCCCTCGTTGGGGGGCAACTAAGGAATGAACGGGGTGCGTGCAAAGCCTCGACCCGGACGTGCTCGTTCCGAAGGGCTGGCCGGCCACCTCACCCAGCCCGCCACACACACACACACACACACACACCAAGGTCTGACGAGCAACAACACACTACCTCCGGCAAAAAACAAGCTCACACACAAAGGGTGCGAGTGGGCTGGAACCTCTCTACCCGTTCAGCGTGCGGTCGCCGTGTTCCGGCCCCCAAGAACAAGGATATATATCAATTTCGCGGCAGCCCGTTACACCACCCACACATTGGGGGGAACTGCGCCGCAAGAGAAGAAGAAGAAGAAGAAGAAGAAGAGAAGGATAACGTCATCGCTTTATTTTTCATGAGTAAGATGTTTTATTTGCTTGCCCAACCCCCAGCCAACCAACCTCTCTCCTTTGCGAGAGGGAGAGACAATCCGTCACACCAGCGTGGCGTTTTTTTTTTCTTTGGTGTGTGCGCTGTCCGAGAATGGGGAGTGGACAATGCGCGTGATGTAATGTGATAGTGGTGGTGTGGGATGTCCAATTTCTGCCTTGCTTACGGTCACACAACGGGTGTGGGTTGTCAAGGAAGATTGAGAGACAACGGAAACCAGCAAGGGCTTATTTGGGGGGCTGGGGGATTGACGACGGGTACGGGTACATAGATGCTTGCCTTTTTCTCTCCTCCCTTCTGGATATGAGGGGGGGAGGCGGAAAGAGGGAAGCGGCGTGATATGAGAGAGCGAAAGAGGAGGGGGGGAAGTGAAGGATTGGAGGTGCCCGTTGCGGAGAGGATGAATTCTTGTACACGCTGGCTGCCCACCACAAAAAACGCATCGGGATGTATGTATACACCGCATCGTTTTTGAGATCTCTCCCTCCATCGTTGGTCTTTGCCCTCCTCCTCCTCCTCCTCCTCCCCCGCTTCTCGCCCACCCTCCCTCCCTCTCCTCACGTCCTTGCTTGCTTCTTTTTCCCTTCCCGCGTATCGATCTAGCTAGACGAGGAAATCAGAACGGACGTGGTGAAGACTGCTCTCGTGCTCAAGGAACAGGCTGATCCGTGCCGTCCGCGAGCTGAAAGATGCCCGTTTGATCAACGGGTTCGGCCACACCGACTTGTCCCTCCTTGCAACCTTTTGTCTTTCAACTTTTTTTTTTTTACTTCTTTTTTCGTGCGTGCGAGGGGGTTGGTTCCCTATTCATCTTTTTCCACACAAACACCCCCAGCCCTACCTACGCGGGCACGTACATCACGATAAAACCCCCTCCCCCCCAAGAAAACCCTGCGGATGCCCGTGCTTGGGGGGGGGG